CAGTTCTTTGGCGAACATTTCCGTAGCGACGTCATCACGAAGCACATGCAGTCTCAGCACGGCGAGAAATGGGCCGAGTACAGTGCCCAGTCCTCCGCGCGACAGGACACGTTCTTCGACTTGGCGATTCCACGCGCGAACACCATACACAACTACATCGACGTGGACAGCGACGAAATCAACCTGGTCATCTCGGACTGGATCGTCAATGTAATCATCGGCGAGATGATGTTCTGCCCCGAGGATGAGCTTGCGACCTTGGAGACGGATGGCGGCGACGGGGAAGAGCTCACGGGCATCGATCCTCGCAACCGGAAGATCGACAAGCTGCGGCGCAGGTCGCTGTCGTTTTTCACCGAGAACGAGAATGGCTTCGGCTACACGGTCAGGATCCCGGCTGTGACGCGCTACAAGCTCGCCATCAAGCACGTGTCGGTCGGCTTGTCGTTCCGACAGGTCACCAGGGTAATCGATGACACAAAGAACACGTGCATGATCACCAAGCTGGACGGCATCAACGACACGCTGATCGTCTGGTAAGTCCGTGTGATTGTCGGTCACTTGCTGCAGGCGCTTGACACAATCATCGCCTCCGACGACGTCTGTGCGCTGGCGTTGTCGTTCGACGGCAGCACACACCGCGGTAAGTGCTTCATGGATATCCGCGTGCGTGTCGGTGTGATGGGTGTCCTGTACAACCTGCATTTGATCACGATGCCGCATTTCGACCGTCACACCGCCCAGAACCAGGAGACCATGATCGTCAAGCTTCTCAACGCTCTATTCATGGGGTGGATTCGGAAGCTGATCGGCGTCACGACGGATGGGGAGAAGACGAACATGGGGCACCGATACGGCGTCCAGGTGCGCATGGTGACGTACGCCCAGTTCAAAGTAAGTTTGAAGTCGTGGAAGGGGGTTTCTAGTTTGCTGACAAATTCACAAGGTCGTCCAAGTGTGGTGCGCTCCACACCAGCTCGACCTGCAAGTTCACTTGTATGTCGATGAGATCGACGGTGGCGCGTGGGTGAAGAAGACCTACGAGGTGACCGTGTACCTACGCCGGCAGTCGAACCTGATCACGGAAATGTGCGTGACAAGCCCGAAGAAGACGAACCGGTGGATCGCGCTTGGCTCTGTGCTCAAGTTCGACATAGCTCACGAACCGAGAATCACAACCTTCTTCGCCGAGCGCGCCGCCGAGGGCAACTCGGCTCAGCCGCATGTGCTGACGTCGACCTGGTGGATCCTCGTGCATGCTCTTTCCCCCGCCATTGAGCTGATCGCTGAGACTTTCGTCAACCTCCAGCAGCGCGATTTGGTGCTCTGTCAGCAACGGAAGCTGTTTGTCGTTCTCGCCGACGAAATTGCCGACTTGTTCAAGGTGTGCCGCATCGCCTACTGCGAGGGCGACTTCGACGACCTACCTGTCAACACCTACATGCAGCGAAACCAGTCAATTGTGCTCATCGCCTCGCTTCGCTTCTACGTCGAAGACCTCGGGTCGCGCGTTCGAGTGCACTGGGAGATGCTCGACAACATCGAGCAATCACAAGTCTTCAGGACGATTGGACTGTTCGCCATCAGCATCACGGACGGCATCCGGCAAGTGGAAGCTGAGCGCGACCCAATGAACAACCCCTCCATAGAGCTCGCGCC